CCAGAGCAGTGAGGAAGTTATTTTTTCAATAACTTTATACTTTAGCTAAAACTCTAAGAACTGTTAGGTCTGAGTTCTACGTCAGTAATATTGCCATGAATTTGTAGTGATCTTTCGTAAGAGTTTACAGTTTCCAAAGAGTTTTTGAACGGATATGCTGCAAATGAATGACAGGGAGACTAAGATACCAATTCTTGTCAGTGCTTGGGAAGACTGGGTGGTCCCAGGGGAGGCTGCACCTCTGGCCAGCTGTGAATGGCCTCATCCATTTACCCAAGTACATCATGAGATGTTACCATTTTCTATACGCCACGCCATGAAAAAGGCTGGGAAGCACTGAACTGAAAAAGGAATGGTTCTCCATAAATTAAAAGGCTATTGTGGTACATAGAGATGAGCTTTTCCAGTTTGATTCCCCAAAGTCAAAAAGCCAAGTAAACTCAGCACTAAAGCAGCCAGGCTGACGGGCGCAACTGCTCTCACACTTGCTGAGGAAACTGGGAAGTCACGTCACTTTACAGCCTGAGGAGTTCCTTTCCAGGCACTTTATTTTGTCTCCCAAAAAGAAAAAAGAAGGCACCAGAAGAGACCTATGAGGAAGAGAATCATGCCGCTGGTGCTGCGGGTTGCAGGAAGATTTACCTGGCCTTACCGCTTTACTCCTGCTCCCCCCTTGACATTAAGACTAGGGCTTTCATCTTCCTGATCTTGAAAAGCACATTCCCCTCAACTTCCATAAATCTGCAAAACTTGAAAAGAGCCCCAGTGTCATCAAGTAAAAGAGACGGCTTTAGGAATCTCACTGGAAGGAGGGGAGTCTTCAAGCCTCTCACTGCTAAGCCGGACATTTCCTAACACTGGACAAATTGTACGTCCAGCTCAGGGAGGGTGAACTGCAGTGGTCTTTTACCCTCCAAGCCAATTGTTAGCTTTTCACAGGAATCAGCAGGGAAGCACATGTGAAACCTCTGTGGTGACGGTGAGCACCCCCACGCCTTGTGTGACTCTGCATGTAGATGAAGCGGCCTGGGAGCTTTCTTAGCTGCTGCTGCTGAGTTCTCAGAGCAGCCCTTTTCTCCGGCGTGGCTCCCTGCTGGGACAGCCCTTTTCAATTTTTCTATCCCCCCTCGATCTCTTCTCCTGCAGAACACAGGGAAACTTGATTGAAATAAAGACCTAGGGAACATGTTTTATTTTCTCCTGTTCAATCCATTTTAGAAAAGCTTTTAATTGGTTTTAAAAAGATGCTAAACAAAATGTGATGATGTTTTTCAGTCTTCATGAACTACAGATACCACTTTTTATACTTTCAAAGGGCTAATAAATCAATCATGAAATTAACTCTCCAGCTAAATTTAAAGCAAATCCACTGAATAACAGGTTCATTAAAAATCTATGCATTTACTTAGAAAAATTTAAAATTCAAAGAAAATTATCCTAGTAACTGAAATCTGACTTGAATTTTTAGTCCTACACTGAAAATCCAAGACCAAAGCAATCACAAAGGGAAAAAAGGAAGGCTTGTGAACCAGTTTTAATAAGCCAATTTTCAACGAGGGAGGGGAGTGGGGGAAGGGGAGAAGTAGAAAAGAGAATATCTTGATACCTAACAACGTGGTGCCCCTGAAGGGACTCTTTTATTTGAGCATGTGCACACATGCACACACAATTTTTCTGGGTGAAAGCTGGAATTACAACAAACGCAAAATTAAGGATTCTGCGACTGATATGATTACTGTATTGTATACAAGTACAGTTCCTCTTTTTAAAGAAAAACTCCTATAACTTTTCTGTTTTCTTGACAGCGATAAAATAATAGCTTTCTACCAGTCTAGGCAACTCTATATCATTCAGATTCATATACTTTTAATATTTACTTGAAACATCTGAAAAACCTACAGGATGATTGTTTGGTAAAGTGAATGCTTCTACTTTAGAATGACAAATATTCTTGACACTGGATCAGCCTGAAAATTTTCCCAAAAGAATACAAATTATTTTAAAAACCAAGGTGATACAGAGAAAGCATATTTTTATTTTGTTAAATATATGCCAATTAGAAATATTTCAACCATTACTTTCTGCTGCCGCTGATTCATGCTTACAGCAGATCACCCAGCTGTCCAGGTCAGTCACCAAATTCGGATTCATGACAGAATCAGAATTTTCTTTTAAGAGAATCCCTGCCATTTCCAATCACTAAGGCAACCAGATCTCTCTTTTACTTCTTACATATTCCTGTATTCTTCCTTTTCAGTTCTTAGAGAAATTTGTTCCAAATCCCTTTTTAATGATCCAATGCCTGCTTCTAAGGTTTCTCCCAAGCAGGGTCTGGTGTCTGGGATGCTCACTCCTTCCTTCCAGCTCTCCATATAACCTTTCTTTCAGCATTTCAGTAGCTTCTGAAATCACTGTGATTTTGGGGGTGTTTCATTGAGGTATAATTTACATAACACATAAATTTACTGATTTAAAGTGTACAATTCAATGGCTTTTAGTATATTCATAGGTATGTGCAACCATCACCACAATCAATTTTAGAATATTTTCATCAACCCAGAAGGAAACTCCATACCCCTTAGCAGTCACCTCTCATTCTCCCCATCCACCTCTCCCAGTCTAGGCAACCACTAATCTACTTTCTTTCTCTACTGGGGCAGTTCTGGACGTTTGCTATAAATAGAATCACATAATACGTACTCTTTTATGTCTGGCTTCTTTCCCCTAGCATGATTTTAAGGTTTGTCTATGTTATGGCATGTATCAGTACTTCATTTCTTTTCATTTCTGAATAATATGTTGTATGTATACACCACATTTTATCTGATGAACATTTGGGTTGTTTCCACTTTTTGGTTATTATGAATAAGGCTGCTCTGAACATTCACGTATAAGCTTTTGTGTGGACATACATTTCCATGTCTTTTGGGTATCTATCTAGAAGTAGAACTGCCGGGTCATATGGTAACTCTGTCTTCAATCTTTTGAGGAGCTGCTGGACGGTTTGCAAAGGCTGCACGATTTTTATATTCTCACCAGCACTGTCTAAGGATTCCAATTTCTCCATTTGCATGCCAACGCTTGTTATTATCTGACTTTTTGATTATAGCCATCCAAGTGGGTATGAAGTGATATCTCATTGGGGCTTTAACTTGCATTTCCCTGATGCCTAATGATGCTAAGTATCTTTTCATGTGCTCATTGGCCATTAAAACTTTACATATTTTTGAATCTTTTCAACCTAATTATACCTTGCCAAATTAAAACTACAGCAATACTAAAATACTTAATCCCACCAAAACGAGAGGATACTCAAAAAATCTATTTTTTTGAATAAGTGATATATATATATTTTCCAAATAAATTATTGATGAAATACTATATATAAATTGCCGTGTCAGATGCTGTAAGATTTAAAAGCATAAGATAATGTTGCTTTCCTCGAGAATCTTACAATCATTTGCACAAAATAGCAACAGTTATTCCTAAGTGTTTAATCAAAATGTTGCAGGTCATTTGTTAACATATTCTCTTTATTTCTATTAGTATCCATTTTGGATTACAAATAATTCTCAGCTAGGGGACGTCTCTCTGTTTAAATCAATGTGTATAGTATTTAACAATGAAAAGGACAAGCAGTTTAAAAAATACCACTGAAAAATTATTTTTTCCTCTCCCAAATGACTTTAAGCAGAAATTCTTTTTACCTAAAAAACTGAATATTACAAGAAATAAATTTAAATGCCTGGAAAAAGTCTCCCAATCTAAGAAATTTTAAAATGCCGATTTCATAAAAAAAGGAATTTTTTGCATGTGATATATATAGATACTGGGGTTATTTATTTTTGCTCCAGAAACTTTAGATATATCTATTTAGATATTTATTAAAGTAATCAGTGAAGGGAAAAATATGCTCACTTCTCTAACTTTAGTCTTAGTACAAGCTAAAACTCCAATTACTGGGAATGATAGTTTATGGAAAGGTGATTAAAAAATCCTTTCTCAGCGCATATACGTAGTAAAGTTTCAAGGTTGTTGTAGGTTATGTTTCTTTTCACTATTCTAAAAATACAAAAAAACGAAAAAAGAAAAACCCTAGAAAAGCAAGACAAGTCCTTTACCTTTAGGTCTAACAACACACACATATAATTTTAACTGTTAAATTAAAACTTAGATTCACCAGCTTAACATTAAATATTTTCCATACAGCTTAGTATCTTTAACTCCAAATATGAGACTCCCATACAGACACTAGAAGGTCTTCAAGTTAGTACTCAACCCCTTTGTATCTGCCTTTGATTGGCATTTCTTCAATGTGACAGTACACAGAATCAATCATGAGAAAATGTGTCTTGTGTCATAGCCAAACATGCTCTGGCAGCCTCTACATAATTAATATATTTAACCAACTCTCACAGGTTAGTTTTAAATGTGTTAAGCTATCAAAATCCCCAGTCTCCAATAGCCATATCAATAAAAATGCAACCACATGAACCAAGATCCTGGCTATAAACTCACTCCTCAAAAATGCTACATGACACAAGAGAAATAACTCAAGTTCATCTGTAAAAATTAAAAAGAAAAACCAAAAATATCCCTCTGCCTACAGGAAATAAATTTCCCCAAATACAAATTCTTAGGAAAACCTACGAAATGATAAATGAAACAAATGGGAACATGTAATTAATCTCTTCTACATTAATATCATAATTTCTCGTGGAAGATGGAGGGGGTAGGGATGTGCAGAATTGTGGGGAACTTATAACAAAACAGAATACTCATTGGAACTGTGGGATTTGAGATCTTCAGAAAAGGAATGAAAACCTCTGATTGTTAAGAAAATCATCTCTCTTAAGACAGAAGGCCAGACCGAATGACCTTTCAAACTCCTTTCGACAACAGAATTTTATGTTTATGATAACCTGCTTATTTAGAGAATGCACCATTACATGCAATTTACTGGAAAAAATCTGTGAAAATGTTCCTTATGTTATTTTTACCTGAGGAGGTGCCTTTTTCAGTAACACAAGGAGAGCCTGTAACACCAGATTAGAAAACCGAGGGCCAATAGGGACATAATCTGGAAGAGAAACATTGCTATGTTTAGGGATTTGATACATGTATTTCAAACATTCAGATTTTTCTGCATGAAGAGTAAACACAGTCCTAAATAACAGTCATGTAACTAACGATAATTAGCAAAAATATCTCCAATAACTTAAATGCTTAAAATATTATATATGAACTCTCATCTGTAAACTTTTTAAAAAGCTTTAAATATCCATTTTGAGTTCATGCAGACATTTTGTCTGATATTCAGAGATAGTTGTGGTTTTTTAGGAAGGAAAACACCCCAGGTGTATTTACTAAGCATTTCCAAGACATTACTGCAAACCACAACAATGTAGTAAGTACACAGGCAACAAACCATGATACTAGAAAATGGGTAGAGGGGAAAACGGCAAGTAATAACAATGCACGTAAGGCACTGCAGTATAACTGAAATGATGGTGGAGCCACTAAGATTGGTCCTCAGATGGTGAAGAACAGAGAACTTCCCACCTCTTAAACTTGTACCAATCCTTCAAGAATCAGCACCAATGCCACTCCTTAGCTTTCTCTGCATACTGCATATGCACCTTGCCCTGTGCCTGGAGCTACCTTCAGGCATTAGCCCTTTGAAGATCCTTCCCTTTGCTGAATATCCAGAACACATGGCATATTCTACTTTGCATTAATTTTTGCCAATACATGTTATAACGACAGCCAGCATCTTACTTATTTTTCTGAGACCCTAATAATTCTAGCACAGTAGTAAGGGCTCAGAATATGCTTGTTGAATAAATGAACAAACAAGTACAGATAATAACTATTCATACAAGGGAAAATATACTCAGAGTGCACACATTCCTGACATAGTAGTGTTGCTATGACCACACATCTCAATTGTGTTTAGATAAAGGAATTTACACAGAGCTATGAGTATGTGTCTAAAAGCTTTTAAAGAAATAATCCTATAAACTGGGCTGAAATGTATCAAAAATAGCAGACCAAAAACCCAGGTCACTAAATAAAACTATCAATTTAAGAAGACCTCACAGGTACACTGCTTTGCTTTATAACAGACATTAGCTTAGGAAACAGGAAAATAAATACATAACAGAGGACCTAAAGCAAGTCTGAAAATCATGGGGAAAATGCAGTAAGAACGGTTAACTTGAAATCACTACTACACCATTCTGGACAGCTCAAGGAAGAAGGGATTAAACACGTGTTTGGTAGTACTTTCAGATGTCCATTAAGCAACCAGATGGGTTCCACTTCAACAGAGTTTATTACAGCATCCTGAGCCATTGTTACAATGAATTTGTTCCAAATTTACCTAATTTTTGCAAGGAAATAAAATGTAAGAGTAACAACACTTTTCTGCATTTACTTGTAGATTACATCTTATGAGCTGAGTGCAGGAGCTGTCTTATTCATCTTTATATCCTGTGCATGTAAACGTAGGAGATGTTTAATAAATATATACACATATATTTTTTTGTGAGGGAGAGTCACCCTGAGCTAACATCTGTTGCCAATCCTCTTCTTTTGCTTGAGGAATATTAGCCCTGAGCTAACATCTGTGCCAAGCTTCCTCTGCTTTGCCTGTGGGATGCCTCCACAGCACAGCTGATGAGTGGAGTAGGTCTGCACCTGGGATCCGAACCTGCGAACCCCCGGCCACAGAAGCACAGTGCATAGAACTTTAACAACTCGGCCCCAGGGCCAGCCCCCTTTAATAAATATTTTTAAAGATTACTATAGAGCCCTTTTAACTTTTAGAATATTTTCAACATTGTTATCCCATTTTTGTGGGAAAAGTAAGGGAATACAGTCTTTGTTTTATAAGAGCAGAAACTGAGATACAAAGAGGTTACGACTTCTGCTCCAAGTATCATAGCTAACCTGTAGATCTCACTCTGATCCTAAACCTTCTTTCATTAGTTCTGTCAAAGTTCGCAAGTAGAACTCCTGAGCTACAAGCAGCTCAGAGGTACTAAACAGTAAATATGTCCATCAACAAAAATTACTAATCATCTGAGGCCTGCCCAGTGGCTGAGTGGGTGGGTTCCTGAGCTACACTTCAGCAGCCTGGGGTTTCACCAGCTCGGATTGTGGGCGCGGACCCAGCACCGCTTATTAAGCTGTGTTGAGGCAGTGTCCCACATAGCACAACTAGAAGGACCTACAACTAAAATATACAACTATGTATATGTACTGGGGGGCTTTGGAGAGAAAGAAAGAAAAACAAGATTGGCAACAAATTTTAGCTCAGGTGCCAATCTTTAAAAAAAAAAAATTACTAATCATTTATTATGAACAGGGAGCTCTGAGGAAGATACAAAATAATATAAGACATGGGCCCTTACAAGAAAGCAGTTTATGATGGAGTTACAGTCATAAGGCATATTTAAAATGAATAACATCATTGACTTCAGATATGAGATAATATTATATTTCTTTTTTTTTTTAAAGATTTTATTTTTCCTTTTTCTCCCAAAGCCTCCCAGTACATAGTTGTGTGTGTGTTTTGTTTTTGAGGAAGATTAGCCCCGAGCTAACTGCTGCCAATCCTCCGTTTTTTTGCTGAGGAAGACTGGCCCTGAGCCCATCCATGCCCATCTTCCTCTACTTTACATGTGGGACACCTACCACAGCATGGCATGTGAAGCAGTGCCACGTCCACACCCGGGATTCAAACCAGCAAACCCTGGGCCGCCGAAGCAGAACGTGCGCACTTAACCACTGCACCACTGGGCCGGCCCTGTTACAGTTCTTTGTAAGACAAAGAGAGATATTTCTATTGCCCTATAGTTTATAAATACCCGTTACTTTTCTCTTGTGATTTTTGAGACATTAGCTGTAATCTGGCAAAGACAGTACAATGGCAAATGTTATGACTCACCAAGCAGTCTCTCAATGTCATCCACAACCACACAACTGAGCTGGGATTTGTATGCATCATCAAAAATCTGGAAGAAAGCAAAACCATCTATTATCTCACTGCTCTCCCTAATTATGGCAATTTCCAAGGAGATAAAATTTAGTTAATTCTTGAGCAATGCCTAAACAAAGCATAGTAAAACACCGATATTTCAGACTACACTAAATTAGAATTTCATAATAGCATTTTAGAACTAAAAGGGTCCTTGCAATCTAAAAATGAGGAGATTGAGGCCAAAAGCAGTTAAATGACTTGCCCAAGTTCACACAACTGGATCATGGCTGAACAAGGAGCAGAGTGATGCTGTTTTCAGCCCCAAGAGCTGGATGTGTCACACCTGGGCATGCTGAGGATCAGCTGGTCACTCATTAATCAGTTGACAAACCTCATCAAGTTTAACACAATGCTCTCTCCTATCTACGCCAGGAGTATGAGAGCAGTGTTGTGACTCAAGAGTTAGACGGAGCCACAAGGGATGTGTAGAATAAAATTGGATGTCATTTTATTATCTGTAAGAATTATGGTTCTGTTAAGCAGGAATAACACTGAAAGAACAGAATCCTGTCAACTCAAATCAGACCATATCGGTCAAAGTGTTTACAAAAGAATTAAAGTTGGGTATAAAGGATCAAATAGATATGGTTCTACCTTTAGAACCAGAAAAAAGATAATAGTATACTGTCTTATGACAGCCAAAGAAATGCAAATTAAAGCAAGCAGTGAAGGAAGTTGTTATATCCTGACAAGAATGTAGCAGTTTCAAGCCAGAGAGAAGAATTAGTTTATGTATAAGTTGAATATAAGTGCCCAAGGCCCTGAGACCAGTCTTTTTTGTAAATGTTGGGGGTTCCCATTCCAGCGTCTATAATTGGGGTTCAGTGCATCCCACTGGTGTCATCTGTAAGAATTAATTCCTGCAATCTGGCTGAATCTCTCTGGTTAAGTAAACTCAGTGCACCAAGATGATAACCACCCCTCTCATCTTGCTTGGGGTGGCATAATATTCCTTAGTGGGTATCTTTTAACTACAGAAGATTAAGAATTAGGTATAGAAATAAAGTAAATCAAATCTACAATATTAATATTTTTCACACCAAGTTTAAAGATAACCTGTGTATACTTGGTCTTTAAAGTATTTGTAACAATTAAAAAATTTTACCATATTAGATTAATAGATTAGCCTTGCTAGTTCAATTTAAAATATGTAATTGGATAATTAATTTTGATAAATTTTTATGTTGGAAGGTAAAAGATAACTTTAATAGCCTTGCAAATGGTAAAGATAATCTAAGATTCACTACATGTATATTATTAGTTTTAATTTATTATTAGATGTAATTATAGATTTACTTTGAAACTCAGAAAGTTTTGTTTGTTAGACAAACAAGTGAAGTACTTCAAAGAGCAAATATTTTAAACGTGTAAATACAGCTTAAAATATTTAAAGAAATTTAATTAAGTTGTAAAAGTCCCCTTTTAAGTAACTGCTAAACTTTACTAGACTTACAAACAGAATAAGATGCAAGTCAACTTTTTTAAAGTTTAAGTTTTCTTTTGTGTTGAAAAACTAGGTCTTAAAATACCTAATTTTAGACCTCAAGTTAGCTACACATGGTCTTTTCTATGCTCAGAGATGCAAACAAAAATAAGAACAAAAGCAAAACAAAACAACTTGTGTTGACAATGTAGATAGTGAGCTCTTCCCAATACACTGTATGTTCTTTAAGGTAGGAATTGTCTTCCTCAGTGTTACGTTTTCAGGGTCTGATACCTCACCGGTGCTTAATAAACGTTTGCTGTATGCATGCATGAAAGAATGCACGCGTGAAAGAATGTCTCTGTTGCTTTTCTTCGCACCATCCCCTTGACCTCTCAGTCTTCCCCTAACACTGTATCAGAATCCCAGCTACTCTTTCACCCTTAGCTATGCGTCTCTCCAATGAACTGGGGGAGATTAAAAACTTTATTCATGTTATCTCCAGTACTCAGCACAGAACAGTATTTAGTAATGATATTTGCTTAATGGATTCAATAGTTGCAACAACACAAATTCTAATTCCATCTTACCCTAAGTCACTTGCCTCTCTTCTCCTTTGGTGTAGCATCTTTTATATTATGTATATATTATGGATTCATTGTATTTGTCCCTGTATTATACTAGATTGTAAGCTCTTTGAAGTACTGTATTATTTATCTCTATATCCTCACATCACTTAATGTAATGCCGTACCAGAAAGTAATCAATAAATAATTACTGAAAGAATAAATTTAAGCATTTTAAATTCAAGTAGAAATAAAAAGTGAGTAGTTGGAGATGTGTGATTGTAGTCAGGTATGGAGATCACCCTAAGGGCAGTGAATGCTGGAACCATGAGAGGGGATGAGATCTCCAAGGGGAAATAGTAGGGGTAGAAGGATAAAGGCTAAGCACTGAATCTTGGAGTGTTGCTCTATTTATTCATTCAACAAATATTTTTTAATTCCTATTATGTGTCAAGCATTAACGAAGGCAATGGAGAGAATAATGAATAAGGGAAATATGATCCTACCTTCACAAAATTAAGAATGGGGGAAAGCAGGTCACATGCAGCTATAATAAAGCATAACATTATTAAGCTAGAGGAAATACAAAATGGCATGGTGGTATACAGCAAGAGAGCTGTGGTAGTCATTGGGGATTCCCATACACATCCTGGTTCTCTTTCTGGCACACGGTAGGATTGTACTTCCCTACCCCCTCTTAAATTAGGGATAACTATGGGGCTTGCCTTGATTAATGAAATCTGAGTGGAAATTTATCATCTTCTGAAAGGAGCTTTAAGAGTCACTGCAAGATTCACCATATTTCTTTTACTCTTGGCTATTGTGGAATCACATATGAGATGGAGCCTCTATTATCTATTAGCTTGAGTCTCTGAGAAACTATAATGAGCAGAGCTCCCTCTCTGAGCCATGATGGACTTGTACTGTGAGCAAGAAATAAACTTTGTTGTGTTAAACCACTGAGATTTTGGGGTTGTTCACTATGCGGCATAATTTAGCCTATCCTGACGTAGGGGCTTACGGAGTCAACGAAGGTCTCCTAAATTTAGGAGGTGACCTTTAAGCTGAGACCTGAAGGATGAACAACCATTGGAAAAGAGGGAAGAAAGTATTTTAAGCAGAGAGTACTGAATATTAGGAGGCATAGAAATGAGAAAATTCAGGAGCACTGCAGGAATGGACATATAATCAAGAAGAATTAAAGTGAAGAGGTGTCATTGTCGGCGTAGTGTGTGTGGGGAGTGCTGGGTGAGAGATGAAGCAGAAGAGAAGCAGAAGAGACAATGGAAAAGTTTGGAAGAAGGCCCACTGTGGTTCTTTGCTATTTTTTGAAAACTAGGCCAATAGAGCAGCCAATATGGTATCCTATAAACAGGTGATTTTAAGGAGTCACTGAAATTAATGCTTTGCTCTTCAAAACATTTTTCAGACTTCTCCTAAGGGCTCTGATGCAAGCACATTAATCCTGTCTGCCAGGCTGTGACATCGTGGGTGAAAAGTCCCAGGAGCCCAGGACATTCCGGATGGGCTACTTGCAGTAGTCCTACATTTTCCCATCAGCCCTTCTCCCTTCTCAAAACAGTATGGGGACCTTACTGAGGACACTGCTGGGGTCTCAATTGAGGGTAAATCGGTATGTAGTCTCACCAACTTCTCTCAGATACTGTGATTCAGGAAGCATTACAAATCACAGTTGATTGCACGGGCTACCTATAACATTTTAGAAGAAAAACACATTTAATGTAAATTAATTTAATGTAAAGTAGTTTTTTTTCACAGACAGCTCTTAATGTACTAATTACCATCAAGGAGAGAGGAGCACTCACAGCTAACTCTCTTAACAACATACTAACCACGAAAAAGGCTGTGCAATTCCAGTTGTAACTTGACCAGTTTCAGTTGACCAGTCAACTGAAACTCTTTGGCACAGCAACTGCTCTAATTTAAATACACACACCCCTTTCACTTCTTACACACACATTCTTTTCCTTATCTAGTCACTAGTGGAATATAAGGTCATCACTCTTCCCCGGGACCCATGTTTTCTGCTAGTCCACTCAGCCCTTCCATTCTTGGCTTCCTCGCCAAAGCCCCAACAGAATGTTCACTAAGAAGATACTCAGAGTTGACTGGCAAGTATATGAAATTAGCTGCCAGACCATAATCTAACGGAGATATTTACATACTGAGCAAGGAAGTTCTTCCACAACTTTAGGTTAACACAAAAAGGAGAGATACTAGAAGGAAAGATGCAGAAAAAGTAAAATTGTACAAACTGCCCAGCTAGAATACAACTGAAGTGCCAAACTTGCCATCAGTAAGAGCTCACAGCAGACATGCCGAGCCTGCTCCAGATCGAATCATGCCAAAACAACAGTTAGCCAGCTGGGCTGAACCTGCGGCTAATGGGTGTATCCTGCAGGCTCTTCAAGAAAAATAATTTCAATTCTGGTCCTCTCATTTAGTAACATGAAAATATGATGCTCAAGCCTTTTCTTGCTAGAGAGGTAGTCAATAGGAGCTAATAGAAGTTATCATGCAAACCAGGACACCTGAAAGGGGAGAGCTGCTGATAATCATGCTGGAACAACAGGTGAAAACCAGGATCGCACAAAGCAAATTGGAGTGTATGGTCATCCAAGTTTTATCCAGGAGTTTCCTGTAGAGCAGGTAAAATTATCAGCATAAAAATACAAGGTCTTAAGACTCAGGTGAGAAATCTGGAAGACAAGGCTAAAGAAAAAGAATGGGAAGAACTGAAGAGAGAAAAAATGTGGAAGAGAGTGGCATCGGTCAATACGGAAATAATGAGAGTTCTATTCTAGAAGACGAAGACTATTTCTAGAAAACACAGAATTCCATAGTCCATTTCTAGATATGGACATGAGAGTGTCATCATTAAACTCTGGTACCACTTTTCTTGCGTGCAAAGGTAGACAGTGGGTTGTAAGAGACAACTCAGAATGTGGGGAGCCTGGGTTCAAG